GCTGTGTCATAACACGTGCCTAATGGAAAACCGTGCCTGAGGGATGGGGGCGGCGGCGATGACATGCGTGCACCATGCCACGTCGACCTATGCGCCGTCGGTCTGCATTGCAAGTTTGAGGCTTGCATAGGTATCCCTCGCCACATTTGTATGTTGGACCGCGACCGTGGCACTCTCTCCCATCACACCATCACAAGACGCAGTTTGCCGTTTTGACTCTTGTTGTTTCGCTTCCGTTCACTCTCTCGGTAGCTTATACCCTCCAATGCCATTCCCTTAGCCGTATTCTAGCGTCTCTGAAATTGACGACCCATACTTCTAAACGACGATGTTCAGGGTTAGTGTGACGAGAGTACAGGATCGGCCGTAAATCCCTAGGACGGCCTTGAATGGCCAATGATCAGCCGACAGGAGGACCGCCGAACAACAATCCACCGCCCGAGGGATCTGAATTGTCCGCCATTGCCGCAGGTTGAGGAACGCATCGTTGAAACCTTCCTAACTTCAGTTGAGTGTGACCCTGGCACCTTTAATCTTGGCCAATTGCATTGCTCGCCCCAACCATCCCTCCCAACGTTGAACTTCTTGGCCCGCGGGTTTTACCGAACAAATGGAGGCCGCCACTAGAACCGTACAGACAACCACTATATTAACCGCCCGTATAGAGACCGCGATCGCCTTACAGAGAGCCAACAACACCGCGCATAAGCTGCTGCCACCGCGGACAACAAATAATTACCGACTAGTCGAACTTCGCCCGCAAGATGGCAGGCCCCATACCGGCGGCGACACAAGCGGCGGCAAACCCCTTAATGCAGAATGCCACAAATTCACCAAACCCTGCTGCGGCGCGCATCTTGTTGGTAGATGTAGACGCAATGGCAAAGATTTTCGACGACCCAAACATCCCTCGACTGCTAGGAGCTAAAGGGGACCCTCCACCACCTCCGCCACTGAAGCCGCCTTCGTCTACTGAGCAGCCTCCGCCAACTGGACCTGAGCGGAAAAATTACATGGAGTACCGCACAATCGAGAGTTTGTCCCAAGTCGAAGAAGTGGATGCCAAATTCCTACAAGGCATCCCGCGTTAACGCCACTCCCATCAAGGCCTACATACTGTCCATCGCAAGGGATAATAGTCTTAAGAGCGCCAAGGTGGAGAAGCTGAACCCCAACGGCCAAATGAAACCTCTGAAGGCGGTCAAAGTCTGCATGTTGCTCATGCGCATCAGAGTGTGCCAGATGGCTTGCAAGGTCGAGGGCACGCTTTTCGGGGTGAACGAGCTTCACATCATGTACGACATTTTTCGAGGTTCGCTCGGAGGTGCACGCGATGGTCAGAGACAAGTGGCATAGGGACGACAAGTAAGTCGACTAATTGTCACGCCTTTTTTTGGCTATGGTACTATCCGCAGAGCTAACCTTATCTTCATCGCAACTGATGTGCAGAGATTGCGCCGATCGGCACTGTGGAACCGTTGGTGACGCATCTAACAATGATTGGTTCAGCAAGATCATGACAAAGATCTTACGGAGCTGGGCGGCGAAGGCACAAGATCCCAAGTCAGTCACCCCCTCAAAGTCGCTATTGAAGTTTCTGCAGATAAAGATGATGACTCTCCTCTTTTAGCACACACTCCTTCACGGTGCCAGCATCAGAGCGATCGATCGTCCTGACCTGTTCCTGTACAGAATAGGGAGCACATCGGCCGATGGCCCTACATGCCGAGCGGTCGTCACGGTGGTCGCCGCACGAAACGGGAAAACGAACAAGGATGCGTATCTGCATCACAGCTATGCGGAGAGACACTTGGAGCAGGAGTTGTGCGTCATGAGTCACACATTGTTGTGGGTGCACTTTGTTTATGACCAATTGTACCAATCAAACGACTTGTGGCAAGTGCCGCCTCTCGACTTCAGAGCTTTAAAAAAATTGGTACCATAAGCACATCTTTCATACACGAAATGACAAGCTCCAAAAAGAGTCGCCGACATCGTCACACCAGTAAATCACACGCGAGATGTGAAGATGAACAACGCCCACACCGCCCGGGCAAATGGGGCACAGGAGATGGTCGACAATGGAACGACGCAATACGACATCGCCGACTTGGGTCACTGGGCGATCGCCAAGCTTCATTACGACCATCCCGTGAGCGGCGGTGTTAAAAAAAAGGGTCGGCGATACAGGCGGGGAAAGGGTCTCGTGACGCTTCTGGGTTTAGGGTTTGGGCATGTTTGCAAGAAAGTGGACGAGTTCACACAAGGGTGCATCACTGGGTGTGATTTTGCCTGCGTAGGATGGGTGGCAAGGGGGGTAAGAGAGTGCATGGCTGGGCGTATGTGGAATCAGGCCTTGCCATAGATTGTGTATCATGAAAGGATCAAGTGGGTACGCGGGGGTGGGGAGGGGGAAGGGGGGGTGTGGGTTGCAGCGGGTGGGGGGGTTCGCACGAAAGTGAGTAGGGTGTAAGTGGATCCCCATGAAGAAGCACTTGATGACAAAGTCGTCCAGCACATGATGGCCTGGGTTGGAAAGGCGGTGCAGAGAAGTCAAGTGGGGGAATGAAACCGAGGGTGTGCCACGGTAGGTGCACCTGCAAACTAACATTTGGTGGGGCATAAGGTGTTTTAGGGCTTGCACATACCATCTCTGTACTCGTCTAGGAGTTGCTTGTCACCACGTTGGTGGGCGTAGCTCAATGGGCAGGTTAACCGCGAGATGGCGGTAATCAGAATGGACCATGCCGGTGTATGCTGTTGGCCTGAGGGTGCTGTTGATTGTTGACCTTGTCGATGACATCTGGTGGTTGAAGACTTCCACAGTTGACTTGTCATTGTGCAACCACAGCATCTTCATTGACTCGAACCCTTCTGCAGACAAGTGGACAGAGAACGCATCGAACACTTCCTCTGGTGCAGGTTAGTACTGAATTTTGTCCGGTTGGTTCACAAACATGAGCTTAGATGTCACAGTGTAGGCTTTGTTCTATAAGGTATACAACAGGGAAACAGGGAAAGAAATCAGATTTTAGAAGAGTGGTTGTTGCATGCAGTTGGTTTAGTAGACACCCCACTGCCACGTCACCCCTATCCCACACCACTTGCCACGTCACCCCCCCCTACCACAAGCCACGTCACCCACATCCCGCACCACTTGCCACGCCACACCCCCTACCACAAGCCCCGTCACCCCCAACCCGCCCCATTTGCCACGTCACACCCCCCTACCACAAGCCACGTCACCCCCATCCCGCACCCAACCTTACCACAAGCCACGTCGCCCACATCCTACACCACTTGCCACGTCTCACCCTCCTACCACAAGCCTCGTCACCCCCAACCCGCCCCACTTGCCACGTCGCACCCCCCTACCACAAGCCACGTCACCCCCATCCCGCCCCACTTGCCACGTCACACCCCCCTACCACAAGCCACGTCACCCACATCTCACCTGACACGCCTCGTCATGTCACGCGACGTTCCCGTGTACCCTCCTCAACGCCCTGTCATCTCCAACCCGCCCCTCTAGTCACGTCACACCCCCCCTACCACAAGCCACGTCACCCCCAACTCACCTGACACGCCACGTCATGTCACCCCCCCTACCTCAACGCCACGTCACCCACATCTTGCACCACTTGCCACGTCACACCCCCCTACCACAAGCCACGTCACCCCCATCCCGCACCACTTGCCACATCACACCCCCCTACCACAAGCCACGTCACCCCCATCCCGCCCTGCTGGCCACGTCACACCCCCCTACCACAAGAACCGTCACCCCCATCCCGCCCCACTGGCCAAGTCACACCCCGCTACCACAGGCCACGTCACCCCCAACTCACCTGACACGCCTTGTCATGTCACGCCCCGTTCCCGTGTACCCTCCTCAACGCCCTGTCACCCCCAACCCGCCCCTCTTGCCACGTCACACCCCCCTACCACAAGCCACGTTACGCCCATCTCACCTGACACGCCATGTCATGTCACCCCCCCTACCTCAACGCCACGTCACCCACGTCTTGCACCACTTGCCACGTCACATCCCCCTACCAGAAGCCACGTCACCCCCAACCCGCCCCACTTGCCACGTCACATCCCCCTACCACAAGCCACGTCACTCCCAACCCGCCCCACTTGCCACGTCACACCCCCCTACCACATGCTACGTCATTCCCAACTCACCTGACACGCCTTGTCATGTCACGTGCCGTTCCCGTGTACCCTCCTCAACGCCCTGTCACCTCCAACACGCCCCTCTTGCCACGTCACAACCCCCCTACCACAAGCCACGTCACCCCCAACCCGCCCCACTTGGTCCGTCACATATCGGGAATGGTTTCGTCTCCTTCAGCACTAGCGCTCGTGCCTTGTCCACAGCACTCATTGGCGGGGGTACAAGCCACAGGCGCCACTGCGGACCCCCCGGCATGACCACCATGTGCTCCACAACGCAGGCCGAGCTGAGAAAACATGGCGTACATCTCTTCCCGGAGCGCCTCGAGCTAGTCGTGTGTAGCAAACTGCACCTGCTCCGCCCTTGCATAGGGTACCCATGGGACTGGGGCCTGGGACTGGGGACTGGGACTAGCGCATATGACATTGATCCCCCATCTGGCCAAGGGGATCAATGTCATCTGCGCCATTCCCATGTGCCCTCGCACTTTCATGCTGGCCGGAAAAGGGCATCTCAAGGATGGGATTGGCAGATGTGCTTGGCTGATGCTCGAGGGAATGACAGGCCAGGAGGGAGACAGCCCTACCCCGAACAGACGATGCGTGGAGAGGACAATATGGGTATGAGGGTGAGGAGAGGGGGGAGTGCATGACGTTGCCTTGTGGAGGGGATTCGGCATGCTCTCCTCGTGGGGTGCTGGCTGCTGTAGCAGCGACTCTAGACGGGCCGTTGTAAGGCGTGAAGAACCGCGGGGCTCCTATGGATGGCAAGGTAACACCCGCTCTGCCGGCCCCCTTCGTTAGCTGCATCCGTTGCATGCTTACCGGTGGCCCAATGCCTGTAACACGAGGGGCTGAGAGTTATGGGGAGCATGAGCACAGAGTTAGAGTCGTTTAGGTGCAATACAAGGGCACACATGCATGCCAACGCGCAGCGTAATAATCTATCTCGGGTTTAGCAGGGGACTGTTTTGGAAATATTGGCCTTACCTTGCTTTGCAGATTCGTCGACCTTGCCTTTCCCTGAAGGGGTAAAACAAGGGACATGTGGTGTTAATAGGGACGGTTTAGCAAAGACTACGACAGCCACGCCATGTGGATTGGGCACAACGCTTACCTCACTGCTAGCCCTTCGGTTTCGTTGCCTGCGCCTGCTCGTTGCCACCTTTCCGCGGGGTGCTTTGGTGGCCGCTGCGACGTTTACCGACAGCTTCCTTCTTAGCCGAACCCACTGAAACCCCTTTGGCGCGGCGCCCCTTTTCTCGTCCATCCCCTTTTGCGCTTTGGTTACATTTCTATTTACCACCCTCGCTAGTTTCGACCTTCACTTTACGCGCCTTCAACTTGCCCGCTGCTTCGTCACGCAGTGTATCAACTGCCCCGCGTTTTCCAAAATGACGAACACGGCCCCCCACCTTCCGTATACCACTCCCCCGTATATCAACTGCCGCTTTTGGGACCTTATCTGCCGCCACATCCTCCTCCTCTTCCTCTTCCGGCCTTTCCTCCTCCTCCTCCTCCTCTTTCTCCTCCTCCTCCTCCTCCTCCTCCTCCTCCTCCTCCTCCTCCTCCTCCTCCTCCTCTTCCTCCTCCTCCTCCCCCTCGCCATCCTCCTCCTCGTCCTCCTCCTCATCTTCGTCGCCCCTCTCCTCATCGTCCTCCTCCTCCTCATCCTTGTCGTCCCCCTCCTCGTCCTCGTCCTCCTCCTCCTCCTCCTCCTCCTCCTCCTCCTCCTCCTCCTCCTCCTCCTCCTCCTCCTCTTCGTCCTCCTCGTCATCCTCCTCATCTTTTCCCTCCTCCCCCACCTCCGCATCCTCCTCCTCCGCATCCTCCTCATCCTCCTCCTCCTCTTCATTCTCCTCCTCCTCATCCCCTTCATTCTCCTCCTCCGCATCCTCGGCATCTTCTTCGCGGTATTTCAGCCTCTTCCCCCTCGCTGCTTGCTTGCCCCTTCTTCTGCCAGATCGGACCTTCTGGCACAATGCAGGTCCCGTCGACTTGCCACCTTCTTCCCTGGTGCCTCGCGTTTTCCCAACTTCCGCGCCACCTGAAGTAGGAGAGCCACTAACGCTGCCAACTTTAGCGGTATCATCGTGGCTGTGACGGCCGACGTCGGCGATGCCGTGTTCCTCCTCCTTCTCCCCATTGTTGTTCTTCTCGACCACGGCAGCACAAACTTCGACCACGGTCAGCTGGAGCAGCGTCAGATGGTGCTGCGATGCTTCCGCCTCAGACCCTTGGATGGCGGCATGTTCGTCGTGTGGAGCGTCGCCGTGGTTTCCCCCTGTCGCTGAGCTCCGTCTCTCCCCCGACGGATCTGCAAGACTCACGCTCCCTCGCATAGGATCTTCCTTGGCGTTGATGGTGCCGAGGTCATTCATCCTGGGCTCGCTTCCACCAGAGGCATCGTCCGCCGGTTTTTTTCACGGTAGAAACTCGCTTGTGTAGCGTTGATCGCTTCCCCTTGTCTTCCGCCTTCTTCCCGGACTTCTCCTGTCCAAGCGCGACCTTTTTTCCCAATCCTTTTCCTATTGACTGCCACGCGCGCCAGACGCTTTAGTAGCTTTAGATCCGCCATTGCCCTCCCAATTGGTCTGAAGAGGCTGCCTCCTTGTCGCGCGTCGTCTGGCCTGTTCCTCGTCCGTTTCCTTTTGTCGAGTGGCACGTGTCATGGTGGACATACGAATGCTATTGTTAATGAGCAGAAAGGTTGATTAAGTTTACTAAGCGTACCGCAAAGGAATGTATCAAAGGCCTACTTGACTGTCTAAGCAACCATGTCGCGTAAAAAATGTATACTTCAGATTAATCTAAAAGAGTGGTCACTTAGCATAGAGCCCCCACCCACTACTTAGTCGACTGGTGAGTCACGGGCGATCTGGAAACGCCTGTGACAACCATCGAGCATCGTCAAGGTTGCGGGCCAGAGGGTGACGGAAGCTGGTGGGTGGGGCACGAGGGTGGTTGCGGTGGCTTGCGAGACGAGAGAGATGACTGTTCTCTGATCAGGCTAGATCAGATGGTGTACCTTATGCCACCCGATCGTAATGCACACTCACCGCTCGATCACAGCCACTTCAATGGCGGATGTACCACTTGGCTAGTGCGTTTGTCGTAAATTGAGTCATTTGAGATGCGTAGGCCAATCAGTGTCGCCAACTCATCAATCACTGCACCCGCTGGAACAGTTTCTGGACCACTAGCGCGAATGTACCGTCAACCCTGTAAAGAACAGTGCTAACTTGAAAGGAACAACGTTGCACATACAAGCAAAATATGCTTCAATACTACAACAAATACAATCCAAAATAATTGCATTACTCAAGTAATAGTATAGGGTTGTCGAACGGCATGAGCACAAAGATGCACTTTCAGCGTCGAGAACTGTTACATCTTTCATGACGTTGGACGATATCTAAACACGAAAGGCATTAGTGCCTAATGGGCTCTCTTTGTATGGTATTGGATTGGGCTCAAGTCTTGAGGGGACCTTCAAGATGGTGCATAAAGGGAGTGGTATGAAGCACACGTCGGTCGCACAAGCGGTGATATGTTATGGACAACTATGTCTCGACAGGTCGACGTTGCAGCGACCAGGTGTCTTGTGTCTGATTTGCAACCAACCGTTGTGGTATGGTATTGGATTGGGCTCAAGTCTTGAGGGGACCTTCAAGATGGTGCATAAAGGGAGCGGTATGAAGCACAGGTCTGTCGCACAAGCGGTGATATGTTATGGACAACCATGTCTCGACAGGGCGACCTTGCAACGACCAGGTGTCTGGTTTGCAACCAACCGTGAAACCGTTGTGGTATGGTATTGGATTGGGCTCAAAACTTAAGGGGACCTTCAACAAGGTGCATAAAGGGAGTGGTATGAAGCACAGGTCTGTTGCACAAGCTGTGATATGTTATTGATAACCATGTCTCGACAGGGCGACGTTGCAGCGACCAGGTGTCTGGTTTGCAACCAACGGTGAAACCCTTGTGGTATGGTATTGGATTGGGCTCAGATCTTTAGGGGACCTTCAACAAGGTGCATAAAGGGAGTGGTATGAAGCATAGGTCTATTTCACAAGCAGTCAGATGTTATTGACAACCATGTCTCGACAAGGCGATGTTGCAACGATAAGTGTTTGGTTTGTAACCAACGTTGAAAACAATTTGGTATGGTATTGGATTGTGCTCATATCTTGAGGAGAACCGTCTCAAGGTCCAACAACATTGTGGTTGGAATATCATGGCATGCGGAGAAGCGATGATCTAAAATTGCGTTGATGAACATATTTGGTCTCATTCAACTCTCTTAGATAAGGATAAGAAGTTTTTAGATACTTCTTGGATGTTTTGATACATCAGTAGAGTTGTGGGTGTCAGAATACTGAACGGGAATGAATGCATTGAACAGAAAGTTGGTACAAGTACTAACCCTAATTGGGTTGTACCCCTTATGGGCTACACCACTACAGCCTACACAACCTAAATATCATAATAGTTTGACACACCCCCATAGGCAAAGTGGGGGAGAACAAGGGGTTACAAGACCAGTCAAGAAAAGCAAAGCAAGCTCAGGGTGGATCACGAAGTCACCACACACTCTGAGAACAAGCAAATGGCCACAAGGCCAGTTCACATGCAGAGTTATATAAATGAGAACAAGCTGTACAGTGATCACAACCTAGCAAGTGTAACCATGCAGGTATATATATATATGGATCACAGTGCAAGCAAAGTCACACAGTGAGCAAGTGAGACGAAGCAGGCAGAAGGCCTAAAGCAGTACAGAAACGCTGATGATCACTAGACTTAAGTGCCTTGGTGAATATATCAGCAGTGTTGGCCCGAGTGGCCACATAAGCAAGACGAAGCTGACCACGCTGCTGCAAATCTCGAGCAAGGAAGTAACGCAGAGCGATGTGCTTCGTCCTGTGCTCCAGTCTGTGCTCCTGACACAAGGCAATCATGGCCTTGTTGTCTACGTACAGAACTGGAGGAGAACTAGGCCGCTCTCCCAAGTCGGTCAGCAGGTAGGTGAGCCAGGTAGGTCGGCATACACAGGTAACAGTCACCCTCAGCACTAACAGCCAAAGCATACATGGCAGCAAGGATAGCGTCATAGTCAAGAGCAAAGATATCCACACCCTGCCTAAGCAGCTCTAGCCAGCGGGGGAGCTCAGTCGCGTCGGAAAACTCTGCGCGCCAGGCGTCGTCAAGACGGGAGAAGCAGCGGTACTGGGTGTGACCAACCTTCCCGCATGTCTGACCAGCGCGGTCACCTGTGCGAATGACGTACTGGCAGCGAACACTACCCCCAGACGCCCCACGCTGAGCAAACCACTCACGAAGCTCTTGGGGTGTAAGGGTCTCGCGCGGTCGCTGCTGCTGCTGCCTCTGGCCACCGCCAGCACCTCCCCTCTGACCGGTTCCACCCCGACCGCCACCACTGCCGCTGCCACCACTCCCACTGCCGCCACCACTGCCGCCGCCACCACTCACACTGCCGCCACCACCGCCGCCACCAACGCCTCCACTCCCACCACCACTCCCTCCGCCACCACCGCCACCTCCACCGCCTCCACCGCCTCCACCACCGCCTCCACCGCTGCCATCCCCACCACCCTTGCCTCCCTTGCCCTTGCCGCTGCGGCGCCTCCCACTAGGAGCAGACGCAGCCCCGACCTCCTCCGCACGAAGGAAGTCAACAGCAGCAGCAGAAGCGACAGAGGGGACAAGGGGGGAGGGCGAACACCCCTCAAAGAAGGGAGTGCGAGGAGTGCCACGAGTAGCACCTACAGTGACTATGCTAGCCTCAGCTGCAAGGAGGTGCTTCTCGAGCAGGTCGACAGTGAATTCGGTGGGGTCCATGGCGAGAAAGAGGTCCCTGACTGCGCTAAGAGAGGCAGGGAGGCGGGTGACAATGAAGTAGAGAGCGATGTACATGGGGGGGGGGGGGGGGGGGGGGGGGGTTCTTGTCTAGAAACTTGGTGGGAAGCGCGACGCGGTAGCGAGTGTCACTAGTGCGAAGGTGGGTGATGAGATCGTCGACTGTGGCAAAGGCGGACAGCTCGGGAAAAAGGTAGGGCAGTATAAGGCGGCCGAGAGCAGCAGTGGCAGGGGAGGAGTAACAAGCGACTACATCGTCGTACAGGGCTTTAGCTGTCTTGTTCTGGCCAAAGTGAGCGCGTTCGTCTAACGGTAAGTGATTGCGAACGGCTAGGCGAGCAGCAGCGTCACGGGTAAGCCACTGTGAGCGAGTCGTACTGTCAGCTGTGTCGGGAGGGGCGAGAGAGGCTCCAGACGTGTGGTCAAACAACGAAACGCCGTCTCTAGAATCGCTCAGTAGGTACAGCTATAAGTCATCGAGCCACGTATCGAACTGGATCGGACGGCCCTCAGGATCGAATGTGAGAACGCTGAGAGTAGCCATAGCGGGCAGAGCAGGGTGGCGCGCAAGCAGTAGGGCAGCACGCAAGTAAGGACGGCGCGACGGGCAGGGCGGCGACAAGCGCTAAAGAAGCGCGCAGGGCAGGGCGGGGCGCCGCACGGCTAGGGCAGGGCAGCGCAACTGGCAGGTCAGGGCGGCGGCCAGCAGGGCGGCGCGCGGGCAGGGCAGGGTAGGGCGGCGGCCAGCAGGGCGGCACGCGGGCAGGGCAGGGCAGGGCGGCGGCTGTGAGGATCTAGGAACGAGCTCAGAAAAGTGGGTTTGAATTGAATGATTCACCTGGGAACAACACGAGGCTATATATAGGCTCGACACAAGGCAGGTAACCCAGGTGTTACGCGAAGGTTCTGAGGGTCGCGAGGAACTCAGTAGAAAGCAATTCGGTGGAAACCGAATAGGCTTGAGTTCGGTACACGTAACCTGGTTCGGTGCTATAACTATAATAACATATAGGAATGCACCTAACCTAGGAAATCAAGCATATCTATGCATGATAAAATAAACCCAAGCTAGAAATAGCATAATAATGTCAATGCAAGCTAGCAAAGCGAGCATAAGCCGTCGTACTCTCACACGTCCCCCCCTCAAAGCTGGGTGGCGTGAGAAACACCCTGCTTGACAAGATAGTCCTTGAGAGCACGGCGTGCGTTGCCCATATCAGCTTCTGCAACCCAACTGTCCTCTGCGGGGTCATAACCCTTCCAGCGTATCAGGAACTCGAGGGTCTTGCCGCCGCGGCGCCGATGAGTGAGAACGCGCTCCACTTCGTACTCTGGTTCATCCTGTATGAGAACAGGTGGTGGTGGCGGTAGCTGCCGTCCCTGGAACTGTTGGTTGGGGTCCTTGTAGGGCTTCAGTAGCTGAACATGGAAAGCATTGTAAAGCTTCCACGTAGTAGGTAAGCGCAAGCGGAATGTAACTGGTGTCACCTGTGCCTCAACG